GCCTTTGCAGTAATTTCCCCTCAGTGTCTCAAGGAGTGCAGGTGCTGGGTCCTCGGGTGCGCACAGACAGCGAACGCTTTGCCAGAGGCTGATCCTGTCATGGGTGTTACTGGTCACTATTGGTGTTTGTATTTCTCTGGTGACAAATTATTTTGAACATTTTTGCGTATTGATCATTTGGGCATTTTTGAAGTATACTTGTTAGTCTTTTAACTCACTTCTTAAAATAGGTTGCCTGATTTATTTGTCACATGTATCTATTGCAGGAACTTCTCCCAGTAAGAGGGTTGCTTATTCTGTTTTAGAATACAGTAATGCCTTTTGATAATTACAATTTAATTACAATGAAATGCAATAATCTTTTTTCTTTTATGATTAATGTATATTTAAGATTCTGTTTAAGAAATCATTTTCAATCCCAAAGTTATTAAGATAGTCTACCTTTTCTTTTTTTTGGCGGAACTGGGGATTGAACTCAGGCCCTTTCGCTTGCCAGGGAAGTGCTTATTCCACTGAGCCATCTCTCTGGCCCAATAGTCTACCTTTTCAAAGAAACTCTTAAATCTTACTTTATACAAACCCAACCCCCCATTTTTGTGATTGAACCCAGGACCTTGCACTGAGTTATACTTTCAACCTTGTTAATTTTTAAAAAATTTTTCTTCTTTGAATTTTGAGTCAGTGTTTTGTTGTCTGGACTGGGCTTGAACCTGTGTTACTGTCCTGCCACTGTCTCCCAGGTGTGCACCATTCTGCCCAGTTACTACCATAGCTTTTGTATATAGTGTGAAGTAGGAGTCAGGGCTAATTTCCCATATATATTATTTAGTTGCTTTAGCACTGTTTATTAAAAGAGACTAGGGCTGGGGAGATAGCTCAGTAGAACAAATGCCTGCCTGGCAAGCGCAGGGTCCTGAGTTCAATCCGCTGACAAAAAAAAAAGAGTAGGAAGAGCTAGAAATATTAAGAGATTATATTTTCTACCTTAGTTTCATTGGAGCTCTGTTGTAAACCCGGTGACTCTATACATGTGTCTATTTTAGACTTTTTTTTTGTCCTGGGGATTGAACCCAAGACCTCGCACTTGCCAGGCAGATGCTTATGCCACTGAGCTATCTCCTCGGCCCCTAGACTTTAAAACAAAAATTCTATTGATTGTTTTGTCCTTGTACCAGCCTGTCTGAGTTATCTTGTTCTCCAACTTTGAATTGGCCTGTCACTTTCTATACCCGTGAGCACATTACCACACATACCCACTCACCCACCCACCCCCACACACCCTGCTAGGGTTTTAATTTGAAATATATTGAATATATAGGTGATTTTTGTGGGGAATTTACGTCTGAACACTTTTGAGTCTCCTAAACAATGAAAATGGATTAGTTTTTCATTTTTTTAGGTTTTCTTGTATTTATCTCAGAACTGTTTTGTAGTTTCTAGGGTATAAGTCCACATTTTTCATTGGTTTACTACTAGATGTTGATGTTTTTCTGATGTTGTTGCAAGTGGTAGTTTTTGAACAGTGAAATCTTTTTATTGAACTTCATATTTAATCATGACAAGAATGTAATGAATAAATTTTAATTAAACCAAACTGTTTGCAAAAGTCTAGTTAGAACTGTGTGTGTGTGTGTGTGTGTGTGTGTGTGTGTGACAGAGCTGCATTATGTAGCTCATGCTGGCCTTGAAGTCTGTGTAGCCCAGGCTGGCCTCAAACTTGCAGGGATCTTTTTGCCTCAGCCTCCTGAGTGCTGGGGTCGCAAGGATTTGCCACCATACCTGGCTAGCTACAACTATTAAAACATATCACTGCTATAATATGTTACTTTACTGGTGCTGGGGATTGAGCCCAGGGTCTTGTATACTAGCTGAGCACTCTGCCAGGCACCTACAGCTCCAGCCGTAGTGATCCTTTGTTAAAAACAACAAAAAAACCAAATAATTTTTTTAAAAAATGTATTTGGTACAGGGTCTCACTGCACATCTTGGACCCACAGTGATCCTCCTCTTTTCAGCCTCGCCAGTGCTAGGATTACAGGTGAGCGCCACCACGCCTGATTTCATTGGCTGGCTCAGTGCCCAGGGCGCACCCAGGAGTAGGGCTGGTGCGGCAAGTAGTGCACTTGCCTAAGCAGGCGCTGTTTTGGTTTTTGTTTTATTTTTTTTGGTACTGGGAATCAAACTCAGGACCTTGTTCTTGTTAGGCAAGCACTGTGTTGCTGAGCTATATCTCCAGCCAAGCAATTAATGTGGCATTTTTAAATTTGTGTTATTATTTTTATTTTTTTGGGTAGTGTTGGAGGTTGAACCCAGGGCTTTGTGCATGGCAGGCACTCTGCCACTGACCTGACCACATGGCATTATCCACAGACCAAGTGGCATTAAATTTTTTAAAAAATAGGGGCCAGGGAATAGCTTAGCAGGGTTCTATCCCTGGTACTGCATGCCGTGTTCTGGAAAACTGGGCATGGTGGCACATGCCTGTTATCCCAGTGCTGGGGAGGCTGAGTAGAAGGATTACTATGAGTCTGAGCTGTGTAGGGAGACACTGTACCAAATAAATCTTAAAAAAAAAAAATTAAAAATTTAAAAGAAATATCAGAAATCTAACTTTTTTGAGCTCTAGTGCACACAGCCTAAGTGTTCAGTTTGATAAACATTTTCCCCTAATCCCCATCCATGCGACTGTATTGCACATAAAGGAATTTCTAATATCTTATCTACCACCTCCTTCACCCCACATGTATTGCACCTAATGCAGATTCTTCTCTGAGCTATACATTCTAGTACTTTGTAAATTTTTATCTTAAGGCAGGATAAACTTGCCATCTTCTTGTTTCAGTCTCCCAGAGTACTGGCATTACAGGCATGCACTACGGTCCCTGGCCTTAAGCCCCTTTCTAGTCAGTTACTTTCCCCATAGGTTAACTGGTTGTTGAGGAGGCTTTTGCATAGAAACATTGTGTCAGTATTTGAAACTTAAGTAATTGCTTGATTTGTTATAAAGTATTTTTAGCAAAGGTGATAAAGATTGGCTTTCTTGTGATGGGGTTAACTAGGACTGAACCATAATATTTATATGTCTTAGTCCATTTTGTGTTGCTATAACAAAATAAGGCTTGGTATTTAATAAAGAATGGGCATTTATTTCTCACTGTTTTGGAGTGGAAGGTCCAGGATCAAGGTGCCAACAGGTCCGTCTCCTTGGATTGGTTGATTGATTTGGCAAGGATTGAACTCAGGCCCTAGCACTTGCTAGGGAAGCGCTTATTTCACTGAGCCATCTCCCGGGCTCCAGGTCCCTCTTCTGGTGAGGGCTGCTTCCTCTAGAAGTGGGGAGGGGAGTCACCTCTGCCTCTGTGGGGAGGGAGGCGCTCCAGAGCCTGGCACTTCTCAAAGTCCCTTTCCTGTGATGCCAGCACGTTGGAAATGGCTTGGATGAGGGAGGTGCTGCAGCATTCGAGCCAAGCCAGAGAAGCTGTCCTCTTTTTTTTTTTTTTTTTTTTTTTTTTTTTTTTGGTTTATAGGGGATAAGATTTGACCTTGGTTACAATATAAGTTTGTAAAGTGAGCAGCTCCCTAGTCAGATTTTTAGTTTTCATGTTCAGTTGCTCTAGTAAGTGATGCTTTTTAACTTTTTTTTTTTTGTGTGTGTGACTGGCTCAGCCCACACTGGGGGCAGGGCTGGCATGCATGTGGTGCTGGGGATTCACGTCTCTGCACACTTGCCTAAGCTTGCCTAAGCAGGCGCTTTGGACTGCTGAGCGATCTTGCCGGCCCTTGACCTTTTTCTTACAATCTTTCCACATATACTTAGTGGTTCTAATAGAGCTGAACATACAGCAAACATTATTTTTTTGGTCTTAATGGTCAGTACAGTAGTAGGGTTAAATTGGGAAAATGAGATGGGAGAAAAAAATTAAAAGTGGAAAGTTGGAAAAGGTTGGCTTCCTAGCCAGACTAATTTTGTGTGTTAAGCACGCATAAGATGGTTAGTGAGCACAAGGTGAACTGGAAGCCACAAAGTCCAGTCATGTCAGGGAAGATACCTGTTCAGTTTTTCCAAATTACTGGTTTTTTCCTGCTGTTAATATTTTTCCCCACAGTGGTTTGCTTCAGGAATACACACAGATACACAGGATATACAAATACAGATATATACATATATATTTTAAAGCTTTTAACATGGGGTATAACATACTCTGAAAAATGCATTCGTTATAGGTTTATAAAATTTTACAAAGTGGTCACCCAAGTTTAGTAAGGTCTCTGAGCAGTACCTCCCCCAGAGGTAATGTACCATCCTAAGACCCAGCCTCCCCAGAGGTAACTGGTACCGCCATTCTAACCCCACAGACAGGTATGTAAATGCCATCTTATATGTGCTAGATTCTGCAGGCTGCTTCTGCTCAGTGTTACTTATATGGTCATTCTGTGTTCTGTGGAAGAGTAATTGTTTCACTCTCTTTGCTATATAGTAGAGTAAGTATTGTTTTGATATGCTCGGATAATTTTAGGGCAAGATTATCTGTGTCATTGTCTTTTCTTAAAGCAGAACCTAACACAGTATTAGTGCAGGGACTGGAGCTGCTTTTCCAGTTGAGAGCAAGTGTTACCTGGAGGCTACCGAGGAGGCTGAAGGCGGAGGGGGAAGCGATTTTGAGAGCAGTGTGCCAGCTCAGTAGCAAGGATGTCACAACCTTCTTGTACTTCCTGTTTCCTGAGATTTTACTGTTGCTACTAGAAAGTGAGTGATTTTTAGTTTTTTAAAAATGTATACTTTAGAAATAAAATGATAATGATACATTTTTTGTGCTCATACTGGGTACAAGTACTATGCAGAGTGCCTTCCTGAAGTCACCTGTTTTTATTTTCACCAAAAGTGATGTTTTGTTAGTGTTCTAGAGTGAACTCTCAGTCAACACAGGTGAATACATCCTTACACTTGTGTTAGGGTGTGCGGCGTCCTTCGTCTAACTGTTTGTTCTCTTCACATGTAGGTATGTCATTGATGGTGCCACTGCTCTTTGGTGTGCTGCGGGAGCAGGACATTTTGAAGTTGTTAAACTTCTAGTCAGCCATGGAGCCAATGTGAACCATACCACAGTAACTAACTCCACCCCGCTGCGCGCAGCATGCTTCGATGGCAGACTCGACATTGTGAAGTACTTGGTTGAGAACAATGCCAACATCAGCATCGCCAACAAGTATGACAACACCTGCCTAATGATTGCAGCCTATAAGGGACACACCGACGTGGTCAGATACCTTCTAGAACAGCGTGCAGATCCCAATGCTAAAGCGCATTGTGGGGCCACGGCATTACACTTTGCAGCGGAGGCTGGGCACATTGATATTGTGAAAGAGCTGATCAAATGGCGAGCGGCGATAGTGGTGAACGGCCACGGGATGACGCCGCTGAAGGTGGCTGCAGAAAGCTGTAAAGCCGACGTCGTGGAACTGTTGCTCTCACATGCTGACTGTGACCGAAGAAGTCGGATTGAAGCTTTGGAACTCCTGGGTGCCTCCTTTGCAAATGACCGTGAGAACTATGACATCATGAAGACATACCACTATTTATACTTAGCCATGTTGGAGAGGTTTCAAGATGGTGATAACATTCTTGAAAAAGAGGTTCTCCCACCAATCCACGCCTATGGGAACAGAACTGAATGTAGAAACCCTCAGGAACTGGAGTCCATTCGGCAAGACAGAGATGCTCTTCACATGGAAGGCCTTATAGTTCGGGAACGGATTTTAGGTGCTGACAACATCGATGTTTCCCATCCCATCATTTACAGGGGCGCCGTATATGCAGATAACATGGAATTTGAGCAGTGTATCAAGTTATGGCTTCACGCCCTGCACCTCAGGCAGAAAGGCAACAGGAATACCCACAAGGACCTCCTGCGGTTTGCTCAAGTTTTCTCCCAGATGATACATTTGAATGAAACTGTGAAGGCCCCAGACATAGAGTGTGTCTTGCGATGCAGCGTCTTGGAAATAGAACAGAGTATGAACAGGGTAAAAAATATCCCCGATGCTGATGTCCACAGTGCCATGGACAACTATGAATGTAATCTCTACACCTTTCTGTATTTAGTGTGCATTTCTACCAAAACACAGTGCAGTGAGGAAGATCAGTGCAAAATTAACAAGCAGATCTACAACCTGATCCACCTCGACCCCAGGACTCGCGAAGGTTTCACCTTGCTGCATCTGGCCGTCAACTCTAACACCCCCGTTGACGATTTCCACACCAACGATGTCTGCAGCTTCCCCAATGCACTGGTCACCAAGCTCCTGCTGGACTGCGGTGCTGAGGTGAACGCTGTGGACAATGAGGGCAACAGTGCCCTTCATATCATTGTCCAGTACAACAGGCCCATCAGCGACTTTCTGACGCTGCACTCCATCATCATCAGCCTAGTGGAAGCGGGCGCTCACACTGACATGACAAATAAGCAGAACAAGACTCCACTGGACAAAAGTACAACGGGGGTGTCAGAGATACTGCTGAAAACTCAAATGAAGATGAGTCTCAAGTGCCTGGCTGCCCGAGCAGTTCGGGCTAATGACATTAACTACCAAGACCAGATCCCCAGAACTCTTGAAGAGTTTGTTGGATTTCATTAAGTGACTGGATATGTAAAATCGTTTAATGTGGTGCTAAAAAGTAAAGGACTTTAATCACAGACAATAGAATTATGTGTTCATAAATTGTGCTTTTCTTTCCACCCTCTTTCCTTTCAACCTGTCCTCTACTTGTTGTTGATCGTCTTGTCTCATAGGGTAATTGATTTCAGACACACTTTAAATCAAGCCACATGGTTTAGGTGTAACTGTAAGGGGTTTGACTGTCAGTTTCTTGTTTGTTTTTCTTTTTCTGAGGAATCAGATATATTACTCTGTTTATGTAATAAGGGACATTTATCATTTGAAGTTCATAATGCTTTAAACAGCTGCCTACAATAGTATTTCTGTTATGCCTATGTCAGTTGTTTTCCATGCAGCAGTTTGAGGATTTCATGAAGAAAAAAGAACCAAAAAGAAAGCTGGAAGTGATGGGAGGTCCAGGTGTCACTCACATGGCACACTGCTGTAGTCTCTGCTCTTTCCCGTGTGTGGAGGGAGGCAGTGCATTTGAGCAGCAGAGGACTTAGAAAGGAGAGCTACACAGTAGCCTGAAGAAAGTGCTTGTTTAATAATAGCCACGAATTTGGAAAGCTAAATCCACTGCATTGTGCTGTGTAGTGTGTTGAAAGTGGTAATAATCCTAAACCAGCCTTCTCAGAATGTTGAGGGGCTCTGCCTCTAGGCTGGGATTTTTCAAAGTCTCTATTCTAATGTAATTCATCTAAGTTGCAGCCAGCCGCATTTGATTCACCTCATAGATGGGTAGACATTATGATGCTGTTGTTTCTTATGAACAAGCTGTATAGTCATATGTTCTCTTTTCGCTCCCTTCTCCATTTCTTGTTGTGTTACTTTTAAAATTTGGAAACTATTTTTCCAAAAGGCATCGTGCTTTCCTACTAAAATGTTAAGACTGCTGAAAAGTCTATTTGCCCAGCCTGACATTTTAAGAGAAGCGGTTTCAGGATGGCCTAAATGGAGGTTTTTAAAATAAGCCCTGAATAAATAAATAA